CCTCAACTTTTTCCCATAGAATCCAAGATTGCTGTGAAATTTGAAATGGCATCCTCTATTCTTAATTTGATAGTCTATAGAGCTTTTTCTGTATGACTTAACCATACCTATTAGAAGACATTATTCGATGTTAGTGATCTTCCAAGCAGACTATTCACTTCAATTGTCATAAAAAGGATCTTTAATCCTCATAATAAGTTACTTGGAGAATACTACTGAAAGGAAAAAAGTACTCAGTCAGACATTTTTGTGTCATTGTGTGCAGCACAGTTAGGCCCGCCTTTAATACTGATCGGACCCTGGGCAAACATTTTCTTGGCCCCCCCCCCCATTTGACTGCAGGATTTCAAACCGATTGCAAGCTCAGCCGTTTATATTAGGGATGCACCGATATATCGGCCGTAAATGCCACTTTTGGCATAATGCCGAAAGTGCCATTTCCCCTACCAGGGCTATGTGGGGTCTCACCACATAGCTTCCCCTACCCCAGCGTCAGGCCCTTCTTCAACCTTGGGCACCAGCTGCCTGGTACTCCTGTGATCAGAGGCGTCTCTAGAGTTTGCAAGGCCTTAGGCGAAACCTAAACATGAGGCCCCACTCAGGCCTGTGGGGTCTCACCAGGGCTCTGTGGGGTCTCACCAGGGCTCTGTGGGGTCTCACCAGGGCTCTGTGGGGTCTCACCAGGGCTCTGTGGGGTCTCACCAGGGCTCTGTGGGGTCTCACCAGGGCTCTGTGGGGTCTCACCAGGGCTCTGTGGGGTCTCACCAGGGCTCTGTGGGGTCTCACCAGGGCTCTGTGGGGTCTCACCAGGGCTCTGTGGGGTCTCACCAGGGCTCTGTGGGGTCTCACCAGGGCTCTGTGGGGTCTCACCAGGGCTCTGTGGGGTCTCACCAGGGCTCTGTGGGGTCTCACCAGGGCTCTGTGGGGTCTCACCAGGGCTCTGTGGGGTCTCACCAGGGCTCTGTGGGGACTGGTTAGACCACACAAAGCCTGGTAAAACCCCAGAGCCTTTGTTAAGCCAGGGCTCTGAAGGGTCTCGCCAGGGCTCTGTAGGGTCTAGCCAGCTTGGTTAGACCCCACAGGGCCCTGGTGAGAGCCCAAAGAGCCCTGGTGAAATCCCAAAGAGCCCTTCAGAGCTCTATAGCGTCTCAGCAGGACTTTGTAGGGTCCCAACAGGGCTCTGTGGGGTTCGACCAGGGCTGGTGAGACCCCCACAGAGCCCTGGTGAGACCC